GGGACAGTCTGTTTCTTCTCTTTCCAGGCTTAAGAGGAACCAAACAGAACTGGATATTCTAACAGCAATCAGGTCTGAGCAGATAGTGTGTGAGAGATGACAGTTGGCAGGAAATAGCAGGAACTTTCAGCATCACTAGGAGCATAGTCACTATACTTGAGGATACCCCTAGTGAGAGCCTCAAGGTGGAGGGAGATATCTAACTGGTCCTGGTTCCCCTCAGGGGCCTGCTACAGTTAGAAACAGAGGAGGAATGCCATGGTGGATGCAGGCTTTGTGTGGGAGTTCTAGCCCTCCATTTGCTTGGCCCACGGGTTCCTCATGCTGGCTGGCTGAATAGGGGACATGTGGGCCCAGGTGACACTTTTCTTGTACTTGTTTACTCATATTTGCTGCAAAGCAAAACATCTTGTACCATGCCAGCCTCCTGAGCAGAGACAGCCCTTTGGTTAGTGGTTCATATGTTAGGCAACACAGGCCCCCTGCACTCTGACTGACCCAGACAGAAGCCAGAGTCCTTTGCACAGTAGCTTTTGAGCTCATTCTGGAGACCTGCCTGAACATCACCCATCCCCACCCTCCAATCAGGAAAAAGGGAAGGAAAAGAAAAACTCAGAAACCCGAAGATTGTTTGGAATTTATTCTCTTAAATAAGAACGTAACATTTGTTTTTTTAAAAAAAACTTAAAAGCACAACACCTTGATTTCACAGTAACGGCAAAAGCAAAGTTACACAATTAAATTAAAAACTCACAAAGAAACACACCAAAAACTCACAACAGCACAGATTAAAAACAAGGGCAAAAATAAAGGGTTTAGGGAAAGTCAGAGTGGACAGGTGACATGTTCCTTGGCACAGCTAACTCTCCCTTGCTCTGGCTTCTTTGTACCACTGCCAAAGGAATTCTGCTTGCTGTCTCTACCCCAAGTGAATGGGGGAGGGGAAGTAAACCCCTTAACTCATTGGCCAGCCCTGCAAGGACCTGGGGGCCTCTTTTAGGAGTACCTAAGAATGTTCCACTGTTTTGCAGGAAGCAGCCAGACACACAGCAAACTCCAAAAGGCAGTAGAAAGTGGAAATAACTAACCTAGTTAAAACAGAGTGAAAGTAAAACAGAGGGAAGGTGGGGCATTTGGTTCTTTGTTGCTCCTGAAACAATTATATGAGATGTGTGTGTGTGTGTAATGCTGCTCATTTTTTGAGGTACCCAGTTTCCCAAATCTCCACTTCCATATGGTATGCTGTTTTTGGTCTGCTGTGGTTCCTCAAAATCCTAACCAGAGGCAACGTTCCCAGTGTAAAAGCTCCCTTTCCAGAACCAAGGAACGAAAAGCTTTAGGAATAGCTTCATTATCACTATTATTATTTAGGGCACAATATATAAATAAATATTTATCCACATATATGAAATGGAACCTTACATATATGTATATATATATGTATGTAGATATGTATGTGTGTATGTATGTGTGTATGTATGTATATATATATATATAACATTCATAAATTACTATCAACTCAACTATGACTCTTGGGATAGGATTAAGGAAGAAGGCTAGATTACAGAATTCTTTCTACTTGGTTTTCCAAAAATGCCTAAGGGAAGAGGACTTGGTAAACAGTAAGAAGATTTCCTAACTTCCCTCTGCCAGGCAGGAAACCCAGAACTGAATGAATTCCTTGTACTGCTTGGCTATTCTGGCTGGTGTGGGCAATGCCTGCAATTCTTAATGGCCCATCTGGATCTAAACTATGGAACCCAAAGGTTACCACACGAGAGGTGTCTGGGGACAGGGAGCAGGAGACTGCCAATTGTAACCTTGCAACTTCTTTTATTAAAAAAATCTTCACAAATCGACAGACAACTGGCATGCTTCTCGCACCTGTTCTCTGCTGTCTGCACTGCATATGTTCTCAGATGATTAATTCTGGGAGAAAAGTTCATTTCTTTTCTTCCTTTGTTACTACACAATCCTAGCTTCATTTTTGGTTATTCATGATAGAAGGTAAAAAGGGAATTCCTCTAGATAAAAAGATTCCCAAACAACTGCAACTGAGGGTCTCACGTCCTAGGGGAAAGGAATCCTTAGAGGTTTTTCTTTCTTTGCCTGCTGTTGTCCAAATTTTTCTAAAGACGGGGCAGGTACTATGAGGCCAGAGTAAGAAAATCTGTGCCAGGTCCACTATCTGTAGCAGTAAGTCTAAGAAGCTTGGAAAAGTAGCATTTATAGGTTTGAAAACAGAACTAGAATTTCTATATTAAAACACATGACAAACAAAAATACTGTAAACGATGTCCCCAACACACTAAATTATACTAGCAGTTACATATTAGTGTACCAGAGAAAGACAGCACTTAAAAACCACCCCTGTAGTGCATTCTTTTAACTGGTGGGTTATATTGCATTTTGTTTTATTCTGTTTTTTTTTTGTTTGTTTGTTTTTTGGCAACAGCAGTTATTTTGGCACAAGGGGAAAGAACACAAGTGAGAAGACAGAAATGCCACAATAGAGAGGAGGCACAAAGCAAAAGCGTGGCAGGGTCAAATACTGACTAGCTGACTGTTAGTCTAGTTTTTCCATTTGTAAGTTTCGGGGGCATGTGGTTCTAGGGAGGATGGCTCAGTAACACAACAGAATCAGGCTCATTCACTCACAGCCTTTTCTGGTCTAGAGTTCAGTGGAGGAGGTGTACTCAGGTTCTAGGTTCTCTATGATACACATTCTGGAATGCTGAAACACCTGAGCTTTTCTGAAAGAAATTCTTATTAAATAATCAAAGCTTTGGTTTGGGATTTAAAGAAAGAAATATATATAAAAGAAGAGACAAAAAATCTATTTCATGGCAACTACAAATACCAGCCATAATTCTTTTCTGCAGAGACTAGCACAAGTTAGCTCACAAGGAAAGCAACTATGCTTTGGAGCATATTCGGGACTCAGAGGTCTAACTTCCAAAAGCTTGAGTCTCCCACAGGCAGATATCAAGGCAACCCATTAGCCCTAAGCTCTCTGTCCTTCTTTTTGCCTAGAGAATACTTTAAATGGTGGGGGAGGTGACAGTGCCTGACTTCCTCACCTTAGGGGTTCAGGCTGGGGTACCTTCCAGATACAACATCTTTCACCTATGCTATAATAGGTATCTCCCATGATCTACCTCAGAATCAAGAACCATGGGGCCTGAGATGTTCTCAGGCTCTGATTCTTTCTTGATTGTTTTGATTCTTTAACTGCACTGCCAACTCTTATCTTCTCTCCCTGTTTTGTAGAACATTCTCTCCTCTGTGGAACCCTTACTTCTTTAGAATTTCTAAAAATCTGAAATCTGTTATGCCTTCAATTAGTCAGAAAGGGAACCAGAACTAGATGGAAAAGCAGGCAAACCCAACCTGTTCAGGAATGACCTAAACCTTATCATTCTTTATAAGAAATGTTTGTATGCCTTACCCAAGGGGGGGGGATTTAATTTGGGTTGCTTTACTGAGTAGTTGGGTTCCTTTGAAAATCCATCTTTGCTGGAGTAAGATCTAGACTAATGAGGTTGAGCTGCCACCTGATTAAATGCACATCCTAGTGAAGAGCCAAAGTTATCTGGATCCCTATCACTCTTCTCTGCCAGCAATACCTCCCATGCTCAGAACATATCAATTGCACAGTGCTGTTATATTTCATGAGAAAGATCACAAAGGGTCTGACGATTGTACAAGGCTTAAAAATCCTTTCTGGCTTAAACATGGCTTTCAAATGTTGGTCCTACCTGTAGGGCACTTAACATACTCTTCTGAATATGATGAAGATACATGCAGGAGCCGAGTGAGCTGGTTTTGCAGGAGTGTGCCTTGTTTTAAGTTCAAAACTGCTCCCAAGGCTTTGTGTCCAGTCTCTGGGCATGTCCCCCTTGCCCAGAATGAGCACCCCAAGGCTCGTAATAGTTTCTTAGCATGGGAAAAAAGCAACTCTGGGTACCTTTTATCGAAAGGCCAAAAGAATAACTTTTTTCATCATGAAAATTCTACTATCTATTCCTTCTCCATGATTTCTGGCATTGGCCAATAACCTTTTAATTTTCATGAGTTTGTTAATGGTTGCAGTGAATGGGAGGAAGTTCACAATTTAGGGCCTCAGGACTTCCCAGCAGTTTGCAGAACTGTGGATATATCTCACAGGCTAGTTTTACAAGGGGCTTAGAGGGGCAATTTTAAGGAAAAAACAAAATAATTCTACTCCACAGGCTGGGTGCCCTGAGTCCTCCCAGTGTGATGACCAGAACAAGAATGTTTTTAGAGGTAGAATGGTGCTGGTTCAGGTCCTGACATAGGAAGTAGTAATGAAAGTGTGACAGACAGGTTTTCACCCTCACTGCAAACTCAAAAGCCCCAAAGTTCTTAGGGTAGTTTGTGTCCTGTAATGGTTATAGGTCAAATAGGAAAACAGTGATAGCTTATCCAGATGCCTAACTAGGAAATGAGATGTAAAAATTTCAAGTTCTGGTGAACACAAATTCAGCCATGGGCTGAATTACACAACTCGACGCTCTGTCAAAGGAGTCCTGAATGAAAACTACAAGGAGGTCTGGCAACTTTGGCTTCTCACCTGGGTCGCTGACCACAGCAGCTTCTTCTAGACTCCAGTTTACCTACAGAGGGTCTGCACCCTGATCTGTCTGAGGGATGTAGGATGGGCTACAGTGTCCATACTGAGACTCCGAATAACATTACCCACACTTGGATGATACTGCTTACCACATGGCACACTTAGTAGCTCACAGCCTGCCAGTGAAACTCCCCTCCGATTTGTACCAGCACCTCTGACAGGCCATACAGAAAGGGGACTCCAAATGCAAGTAGCTGGCACATGAAAAAGGAGTCCAAAGGGTTTTGGGCCACTTGATGCCCAAATGAAGAAATGTTCTTTTGGAGGTGCTGGCTCATCCCCTTGGCCTTGTCACAGAGGCCGAGAGAGTGACGCGCCACCCAGCCAAACAAGGAAGTGAGGCTACCTGGAGTTCTCTCAGCCGAGCTGGTGATGGTACTGGCCCGTCCACTTGTGTCTGCAGTGGGGCCATCCTGCAGGGGTCCTCTGGCCTCCTGGGAGAGTCCATAAGAAAAAGAAGAGTGACTCTGACTGAAGCCCTCAAATCTCAGGAGGTAATGACAATCTGATTGGTTTGTCTATCTCTTGTCAACCAAGATTTATATACCTCACAGTCTTTCTTTAAAGAAACAAGGACATATTCACATAGAAGTCACTAGAAGTCAAAGTCTCTATCCACCCAAGTCATCCATTGGTGTGCTGGACTGGTTCCAGGACCCTCTCGGATACCAAAATCTGTGGATAATCAAGTCCCTTAAAATGGCATTGTATTTGCACATAACTTACATAATCTCCCATGTACTTTAAATCATCTCTAGATGATTTATAATACTTAATACAATGTAAATGCTATAGGAACAGCTGTTATACTGTATTGTTTAGGGATTAGTACAAGAAAAAAGTCTGTTTGTGTTTGGAATAGAAGCAATCTTTTTCCTTTTATTTTCCATCCATGGTTGATTAAATCCACAGATGTGAAACCTGTGGACACAGAGGGCCAACTGTATACCTTTTCCCACCAGTCCCTCTGCAGTCAAAAGAAGCCTCTCAAAGCAGCAGTAATCAGCCTGCATACTGACAAGGTGCTGTCCATGCAGTGGAGGGATTACTCAGGTCACCTTGACAAAGAAAAGCAGAGGGACCATGCTAAGAAAGAAAGGAAGAAAGAAAGAACGAACGAACGAGTGAACTTAGACAAGTAACTTGCAGAACAAGGATATTAAAGAAGTTGGCAGGCAAAGCATGTTGCAGTCAAGTTCCTTTCTGGCATGAAGAGCAGGGATTGGTGTGGCTCCCATTTGCTCTTAGATGCCCTAAGGCAAGGGCTAAAGAAATGGAAGAAACTCTTCCTTAGGATGCCTCTTCTCTCACTACTGCCTCTCTTGATGAGAGTTCTAACTATGTGAAAAAGGAAGAGGACGTTATCCTTAGCTGCAGGGCATTCTCCTTTCAAAAAGAGGCTTATTCATAAAGGCAGAGTGAATAGAAGGGAGGATCAGTATAATTCCTCAGTTCAGCTCAGGTGGTGGATATGACATTACTTTAGCGAAGTACAACATCAGACTGAAAGGCTGCTTCCCTCCCCAAATTGAATGCAACTATGTCTTGGGCCCTCATGGGACAGGCAATGTTCCAATGACCATCCAGCAAGCCCACCTGTCCCAACCCTGATCCACAATCAAACTGGTGTGCCACCCACTGCATTTCTCCCACTTATAGGAAGGATTGTCATTACCTTTCCAGACAGAGGAGCCACAGCTGGCCTCTTCCTTTGTGCGTAGCCAGAGAGTCGATAACAGTAGTGTGGTTTACAGTAGAATTTACCTGTAGACAGCAAGAAGCAGGGGAAAAGCGAGTAAGCAAAACTCTGTAGTTCTGAACTTGACTCACTGGTCTTGGCACACTCCTGTCTATCTCCTTCAGCCACAGGATGTTGTCACCACCATCCCACCCTTTCACAGGCCCAGCTTTCTTGCTCAGGGAAGCCAATCCCTCCCTTTAAACTTTGATTCCAGCCCTCCTCTCCCCTGTGCCTGAAGTGGGTGGGACCTTCTCTTTGGGTATGTAAAGGTCATTGAGCCATTACCCAATCAGTGCCCACAGCAAAATGTGAGGCTTGCATGGCAGGGCCAGCTAACAAAGTGGCAGTGTATAAAGAACAAAGATGTGGTCACATGAAAGCTGCGAGTAGCATTTCTGGGGAAAGCTAGGATGAATGCAAGTGCTGGGTGGAGGCGTAAAGGCTGCAGGAGCTGGGGGAGCACTGGCATTCACTCTGACAGGTCCACTTTTGCCCCTTCCCTCTCCTACAACTATAGGTCTTACCTCCTTCATCACCCACTATCCAGTGCAATATTGTTTTTGTGAGTTTTGGTCACCAATAAATAGGACAGGATAAAGTGTATTAATACTTGGTTCATATGCAACTTATTTGGTTTTTTAAAATATCCTTCTGTAAGAAATACCTTTCCCATCTCCATGTAATTCTTATAGACTCTATCAATCATGTGGCCTGACATTACCCACTATAGAAGTAGAAATATAATCAGGTTGGTCAACCAGAATACTACCTCCCACCATCCTCCTCAGGATATAAGCCCCAGGAATTGGTGTGTGACTAAAGGCAGTGTAACCAGGGCCATAATTGGCAAATAGGTGAAGAACAGGCAGCCCTTCTCTGGTGCTGTTATCTGGAAGGAAGACATAAATTTAAAGCTTATACTTGAATCTGACTTGGTTTTCTATTACTTGTAACCAAGAGTCTTGTTTATTATAGTATGAAAAAACCATAGCCAATTATTGTTATTTTAATTTCTGTCTTCTATTTTTTTATGTTAATTTTGTTTTTAAATTATTATTTTTTTTGCATTAAAGCAGAAACCTAGATCTTAAAATACAACTCAATGGAACTCGATTGAATCTTCATGGAACCCTTCTCTGGTATTCTCAATTAATAAAGAAGTTTAAGTTTCAGAAATGAATCTCAAAAACCAAAACAAAAGGCAATTTCCAAGAAAATTCTAGGAAACTCTTTTCTCTAGGAAGATAGTACTTTATGTGAAAAGCATGAGCTCTGAAATCAGATCTCAGCTCAAATACTGTATCAAACACTCAATGGTTGTATATATTTAGCCTGTTACAACTACCTCTTCATATATGAAATAAACATTATACTCATCTCATAATAATCTTAATAATCTGATATAAAGATATCAGATTATTAAGATATCAGATGTTGTGAGTTTCAGGTGCTCAATTAATATATCTTCTTAAACCCTTTTCCAAACCTTAATAGCACTTTTTGCTTTTTAGATTAATAAGAGTAATTCTTATCTAACATTTACCATGTGTCAGACACTATTTTAACTGCTTTACATTTATTGAGTCATTTAATCCTCAACCCAATGAGGTAGGTATCATTATTATCCACCTTTTCCCAGCTAAGACACAGAAATGCTGAGCAATCTGCCCAAAGTGTCCCACTTTGAAGCTGGCTCCAGAGCCTATACTTTTAACCACTATGCTATGATGTCTGTCTCAATTAGTAAAGACAACCAGGCTAATGTTATAAATCAGCTACAAATTAAGGTTTTTACAGATAACCTAAATTAAGCAATCCTGATAAATAGGTAAGTGCCTAGAAAAGGGAATAAGGTAAACTGGGTCATTTATCCATTTGCTCAACAACTTATTGAGTGTCCTTAAGTAAGAAGTACAATCTAAATACTGAAGAACCTCCAGACAAGTTCTCTGGATGGGGCAGATGGTGTGTGAATGAAAATGAGGCAGTAGTGGAGACACCAAATGGGGTATGACAGAACCTGAGTGGCTAGAGGTCTGGGAAGGCCTTTGAGGACGGGACATGTGGAAATGGCAAGGCCAAGAAGCCACCCAGCAAAGACTTGGGGGGGGGGGGGCACGTTATTCCAGAGAAGACAAGGCAAAGGCCCAAGACAGTAATGGTTTTATCACGTTTACAGAATGGGAAAAAGACCACTATGAGAGGGGTACTATGAACTGGGGTCAGGTAACAGCTGAAGGCTAGGGTACACATGCTAAGCTCTCTCACCCTGGAAAAGACTGCCATTCTATTTGTACTACAGTGGGTAATAAAGTAAGAAAAGGATTGGTAAAATCTGACTAACACCTTTTGAAGATCCCTTGGGTTGCTCTATGGAAGCAGACTAAAGGGGCAATTGTGGAGGCAGGGAAAGCAGTGGTCCAGGTAGAAGATGCAGTGGCTGGCCTAGAGACTTCATAAGACCCCTCGGGAGTCTGTTTTCTCTCCTTAAGATGATATGGAACAACTTAAGATACTATCTAATTTAGAGTCTTAAGAGTTGACAGCAAATAAAAACGAGCTAGCATTTGGCAAGGGAAAGAGTAGTTTGGTTTGGGACAGACTGTTTCCTTTAAAGAGTTGAGGGGCAGATTCAACAGCAATAAGGGCAAATCATAGACATCTCTTTTAAGTACATGAATCTTGATTCATCAGTTTGGAGTTAATGAAGGGCCTGCTCTGGAATGGATCTCAGAGGTCATTTAGTACAAACCAATTCTTATTAGCTGCATAAAATTGGATAAGCAACTTATAACTTCTCTGAACTTGCTTTCCAACTGGCAAATTACAACTAAAAAATAGCTACCTCATAAGGTTGTTGTGAGAATGAAATGATGTGCTATGTGTTAAAGGATCTGGCACAATTCCTGGGTTATTTCTTTTCTCCAGAGTTATAATTTCTCTTATCTCAGTTAGATTCTTCATTTAATAACCTGTGTGTAGAATAGGCTAAAACTTTAGTATGCCCCTAAAATATAATTCCATTTTCTAGTCTGCCTGTCCCCTGACAGAAGAGAAGAAATCCTTTGAAGGGGCTAATTTGATGAAAATTCTATCTGGGTTAAGATTTGGTGAGCTGGTGTAGACTCACTGTCCTCTCTTGTGGCTGTCTAGAATAATGTCTTGGCAGGCTAGCTTCATCCTGTGCCAGCTAATGGCCACTGGATCAGGGCACTTGTTCTCTTGCCTGCAAAGTCATCTTCCCCCTCTGCTAGCCAATTCTCATTTCTCACATGCATTTCTGAAGGTTGGTTAAGTCATTCCAAACTGCTGTTGAACATGATCGATTTCCTCCTGCACTGAACTTAAGTTATACTATTCACTATGTGACCTGGCCCTTAACTACACCCTTTTTACAACTGTAAACTTTGCTTCCTATGTCTTGTCTCATCAGTCCCCTCAGAATGTGCTACTATTTAATCTTGAATGTCCTTCCAAAGGCCCATGTTGTTAGAGGCTTGGTTCCCAGGGTAATGCTATTGGCAGGTAATGGAATCTTTAAAGAAGTGGAGCCTCATGGGAGGTTGTTAGATCATTGGTGGGGGGTGTCCCCAAGAAGGGATTGTGGACCCCCAGTTCCTTCTCTTAATGTGTTATGTTATCACAGGGTCAATTGGTCATGAACTGGAACCTTCAAAACTGTGAGTCAAAATAATTTTTTTTTAATAAATTGACTATATCAGGAATTTTGTTAAAGCAATGGAAAACTGACTAAAACAGAGGCACTGGAGGCACATTTAGACCTTATCTGTATCCTCAAGAGAATGCAGCAAAGATGAGCACATATCCACAGCCAAAATAATCTATGGACCAACTGGCTGGACCCTGAGGGATCTCCCAAGGTAAAAAATAACTAAAACAACCTAACTAAGGACAGTTACAAGATGTTGGGTGGGCTCCATCTGCCTACCATCATCTTTGGAATCAAAGGTATTACCCAGAGCAAGGGTATGGGAAAAGCAGAACAGAAATAATAAAATTTATTTTCCTTACCTGAGTAACTATCTTAATTCTTCCCTAATTGGATAGAGCTCTTTACTTTTTTTTTTTTTTTTTAGTTGTTGATAGACCTTTAATAAAGGTCTGTGTTGCTGAGAATCGAACCCAGTGCCTCACACATGCCAGGCAAGTAGGCTACTGCTAAGCCCCAGCCCCAGCACCCCCAGCCCTTTTTATATGTTATTTTGTGATAGGGTTTAAGTTGCTTAGGGCTTCACTAAGTTGCTGAGGCAGCCTCTGAATTTGTAATCCTCCTGTCTCAGCCTCCTGAGTTGATGGGATTATAGGCATGTGTCATTGCATCCAGCTTGAATAATGCTAATGCTTTTTTTTTTTTTTTTAAATTTTGTTTGGACAGTGCTCTTTACTAACACAGTTAAGAGTAGAAGGTGCCATGATAATAAAAAGAAGAGTTAACCTTTCTTCTCCCCCACCCCACCTTTTTTTTTTTTTTTTGGTGGTTCTGGGGATTGAACACAGGGCCTTTCACATGCTAGGCAAGCTACATCCCCAGCTCAACAGTTAGCCTTTCTTAATTCACTACATTGGGATCCTTTCTTGCTCCTTCTGGCACAGTGGCCTGTTTATTCATTATTAGAAAAACCTAGGTAACTGGAGTGACCATCCTAATTGCATTGGCCCTTCTGTATAACATTACCTTGCAATATTTTCAATCAATAAATCACCTATCATGTAATAGATTTAATGCCAACCCATGAATTCCAGTAATCTAGGTCTCTTTGGTAATTTTATTTTGGGGTACCGGGGATTGAACTCAGACCACTGAGCCATATCCCCAGTCCTATTTTGCTTAGCACCTCACTTTTGCTGAGGTTCTTTGAATTCACAATCCTCCTGCCTTAGCCTCCTAAGTTGCTGGGATTATAAGCATGTGCCACTGTGCCAGGCTCTTTGGTAATTTTGAACCAGTAAAACTGTCTCCCACAAAGTTCCTTCCGTTCCTATAGGAATGGATGCAGGGCTTGCCACTGCCTCATTTACCTATTTCTATTAACCTTCAGGATCTTCAGATTACAGGTGGCCAGCCAATATCTGTCAGTCTCTGTGAAGTGTTTGCCCACTTCTATACCTTCCATTGGCCAAGGTCTTTCCATTGTAAAAATAGTCAATGCTACAGTAAATCCCTGGGCAATGAGCTGTCCATTCCTCAAATACGAGGCAAGAAGATGATGATGCCAGAGGGAGACAGCAATATCAGGCATATTTCAGTCAGCTCCCAGGGGCAGAAGCTTGAGTATCAAGGGGCCTGGGATCTATTTTCGTTTGCTGTCATCAACTATAGGCAAGAAGCATAATTTCTACATATCTGTAACCCCACTACCAGAAAGACAACAAGGCTTATCCACATTGTGTCCTTTAAAAAAAAAAAAAAACTTTATTTATTTACTTATTTGTTTTTATGTGGTACTGAGGACTGAACCCAGGGTCTCACACCTGTGAGGCAAGTGCTCTACCACTTAGCTACAGTCCCAGCCCCATATTGTGTCCTTTTACCTCAAGATCCCACCATGAGGTAAAAAAGCAAGGGAGTGTAAACTCAGAGAACCGATTTAGGTAAATGCATGCCATTCCATTACCATAATTACTGGGTAACACTATGATACATCCTGGTGACTTCAGAAAAATATTTATAAGAAAGAGTTTCAGAGAAAAAAGGAAATAATGGAGGGGGAGAGGTGGGAAGGGTTAGTAGAGCTACAACAAAAGCACATAGAAGAATGTAGCAACAAAGGACCTAAGGTTCCCAGCTCAAATAGACAAAAAAAGTGCCTGAGCTCAGTTTCTAGGTATAGGCTAAGGTGCAGACTGACTCACCATCCTCAATGTCATAGGCATAGGCTGAGAGGCGCAGGGTGGTGGCACAGTAGTCGCATTTAAAGCAGCTCCGGTGGAAGAACTTGCCCTCAGCACTCAGTCTCTCCATCACATAGACCCGCTTCTGGCAGAAATAGCACGTGTCGCTGCCCCCCAAATTCTGTGGGAACTCCTTCTTCATGGAGCCCTGGGGGAGGGGAGAAGGAGTTAGGGCAAGGCCTCTCAGTCTTCCCTCCTGGAGCTGTACAACCCCTCTCTAGGTGAAGCTGACTCTTACCAGGTGTTTTTATTTGGAGATAGACTACAAGTGCTAAAGGGCCACATTTGCTCTGCTTTTGGCTCTCCAGAAGAACAGCAGCACTCTTGCAGTAGTTATAACACACAAGCCCTTCCCAGGAGCCCTCAGTACAAAGTGAAGCCTGAATTAGTGTTAATCAACAACCAAAATTTGCTTCTGATAAAGGATCCAAATTTACATTTTCCTAATCAAACCAAATCATTCTGACCAAATTCTTTTTAGAGGGAAGCATTGGTATAAACATATTCAGTGTTCACTAGAGTGTTCTATGAGTGATTACTTTTAGAGGTACAAATGCTTTTCCACACAACATTCTAAACATTCAATTATCAAAATTCAGACAACCTTGAAAAATTATTACATGCCAACACAAGCGGCCAAACAATTTACTAAGCTCCTTGGAACAAAGCAGGTTTGTTCCCCATAGCAGTGTGAAGGCTAGCACCAGTGCCCTTGAGATATCTCTTACCAGCTCCTTCTTGTCTAGAAGGGTTTTGGGCTGCTCTTTCCTTTGAAGCTGATTGGCTATCTGCTCAGCCAATGAGCTCACTCCGCCCGTGTACATCTTTATATACTTCTATTGGTTGGAGATTATAGAATGACCAGAATGAAAGGAAATGAGAAGGAAAAAAATTAAGAAGACAAGAAAAAACTATTTTAAGGTGTAAAACGATTACACGGTGCAGCAGCAAACCATGCCAACACAGTGCCCACAAGCAGAGAAATGGTGGTGAGTAAAACACTGTGTCAGCGTCTACTTGTGTGGGGTGGTGGTGGTCAGAATAGAAAGGAGCAGCATTTGTGGGAGATGATCCTTCCACAGGAAGAACTTGGTTTTTCATGTCTTATTTTTGGAATATATAGTTTCAGGCAGATAGGAAGTAAAAGGCAGAATGGATGAAAACACAGAAGACAGTAAGAAGGGCACGTTCCCTGGTGAATCAAATTACACACAAAGAATTCAAGAGGAATAACGCCACACAAGCAATGGATGTCCACACTGACCACCATTTCAGAGTAAAGGAGAGAGTCTGGTAAAGGAGAGAGTCTGGTAGACTACTTCCTCATTTAGAAAGAAGTCAAGCTCATTCTTGCAAATGATAATCCTCTGGGGTCATTGACTGATGTCAAGAGTTCTGGTATTATTGGTGATAATCTTTATCTTCCTTGTTAGCACTTGACTCATATAGCAACTGTTACATGCAGCAGACATTCCTGAGCTCTGTTGGAAAAAGTCTTCTCTGCCCATTTTCCCTGTTGATATTTAATGGGGGCTTGAGAACAGCATAAGAAAGCCCTTATGATCTATCCAGGCACTAATGCCAAAGCCTTTTAGGCTGGGTGGGGCATCTTAACCACACAGTGCAGCCATGTAAACAAGTTTCTTAATCCTGAGAAGTCTAAATGTATTTCTAGTCCAGAAGGGATTATTTTTAGAATTTGAAAAGGTAGAAGAAAAAGAAAATCCAACCAATTCAATCCTCTTCCTGGCAATATTCAAGAAATAAAAGGAGAAATGTCTGCATGATAAGCCATCCTGCTCACACCACGGGCTGGTACCCAGGGCAGTCCAGCTTTGGAGCCTGTCCCTGGGAATGCAAAGTCTTGCTGGCAGTCTTTTAGGGACTCCATATCTAGGTCACGTTTCATGTGCTATGTGCTTCTCTTTTCATGAATTATGTGGAACAAGGGGGATCCCTGACAAATTCAGGAGGCTGTGAATCTAATTCTGACTCAGAAACACAGTAGGTGCAGTTATTTTGGAGAAGTAAATAATCCCCTTAGGAAGTGGTTTGAATAGACAAACATAAAAAGGCATGTGTAAGAGTTCTGGTATTACTGGTGATAACCCTTATCTGCCCTTGCCCAACCCAGGATATGCCATGGCTGGGCAGGGGCAAAGAGAAGTACTCTGGGGATGGGGAGGGAGCTAACTCATGTAAATCTGGGAATAACAGAAGCACAAATGAGAAAACAATTCTTGGTTGCATAGCTCAAAGCTTAGCTGGAACTGAGAAATCATATTTCTCAACTGAAAAATAAGGAGATTTCCAAGGATTGTAGCCATTTGTCTATTAACTTCACAGCTATAACCATTAGGAGTTGAGAAAAAACAAGTGGTTCTTAGATCTAAACCTTCTTTAGATTAGGGACATTGGAGACACTTAGGCCTAGAATAGGCAGACACCAGGCAAAGTGGAGCAGATCATTTAGTAGCTGACATTGAGGGAACAGAAAATTGCATTTTTTTTCATTCTGTCGCAAATAAGTGAATGTAGACCAGATGTCAAACATGCGGCCAGGACACTGTACAGCCCCTGTGCCCCCACTGCACAGCCAAGACCCTTCTCTGATGGTCAGAAACCACCATCCTCAGTAGTTACAGCCTGGGGCTGCTCATGTGTAAAGGCATTTGTCACATTCAATTTTCAGCAATGTGGTGTAACACTAAGCACCCCCCACCTCCCAGAGGTGAAAATTTAAGTTGTTTGCTTTTGGCAAGAAAAGCAGATGGTTTCCTTCTCCCTGTTCTTAAAAAATAGTCAAAGCATAGCAATCACTAGATTAAAGTGCTGCACACCACACACATGCATGTGATTCTGCACATATGTACCGCAGAGTCTGGTACTAGCTCAAGAAAAGGAAGCACAAACAGAATGGGCAAAAAGATGCTCTAATCTCCCTACAAACTCCTCTCTGGCTAGATCAGTGCTACTGTGGGAAATAGCAGCATTCATTACTCACATGATTACAGGTTAAGAGGCACTCAGAATACTGCAGATTCACTATTCTGCTTAAGTGATTTCATTACAACATGTAATACATGATTACAAAGGCATATGAAATTTAAAAAACCAATGGCTAAAAAAATCATTATTGAATATAGTTAAAATACAATCAAAGTAGGCTTACTTTGACAGACTTTGGCAGTGTTAAATACAATTCAGTGAAAGCCAGCAGCCTCTTTAATTTATGTGTCTGCTGTAACCCTCACACATACAGACACACACCATTAGCTTCTTACAGGAGAGAGGCCAAGGTTAAGACCTCTGGACAGAAGGCATGTGTGAAAGTGAAGTGAGCAGAGGCTGCAGAGGAAACATGGTTTTGCCAATTCTCAGACCATGCTACCTGTCGAAGGGAGTCGGAGGAGGGAGAGGCAGGGCGGTTGGAGGAGCGGAGACTAAGAGAAAGCTCCCACTGGTCAACAAAAAATCGACGAGAAGGTTCAGGCTCTGTCTATAAAATACAAGATGGAGGGGGAAAAATCAAAGGAAAATGTTAAATTAAAAGTCATACCTCAAACAAGAAATTTTGACAGTTTTAGACCCTTCTACTCTAGACCTCTATCTAATACATATGATAAAGAAATATTTTTTAGCTCCCAGAAGCACAAGTGGCTCCCTAATCAAGGCTCCCATTTTGTTTTTTACTTATCTTCCAATGCTTATAGTGAAGCTTGCTCTGAACATAAACAGTGCATTTTTGATTGTGTGTGTGTGTGTGTGTGTGTATGGTGCTGGGAATTGAACCCAGGGTCTTGGGCATGCAAGGCAGGCACTCTACAAACTGATCTGTATTCCCAGCCCAAATTTGAATCCTAGTTGAAAAAGATATGCCATAGAGATATGTCGTTCTTCACAGGTAAACCAGCTGTGAAAGCCTTGTCTTTTCTGGCTTGGTATTCTTACTCCACCCATCCTCTAAGTGGGCAATTCTGCCAGCTGAGTGATAGGATAGGCATCGTCAGGTACTGCAAACACATACCTTGTCCCCTGCGGAGAGCCCTTTCCCTGGCCCAAGCCATGCTTTCTCCTGGGTAAGGAAGAATTCTGCCACCACCCCGTTATTCAATTAGCCTTCTAATTAGCAAGCAAGAGAGACAGTAAATATAGGGCTAAGCTTGCTTTTTCTGTATCAAGGGCAGGAATAGTGCTTATCCTCCTTCTAGTGCTTGGAGAAGCTCTGTTTGCCAACGAGGCCAGCCAAACCTCAAGCAATGAATAGGAGACAAGACTCAAAGCTCCTACATCTTCTGCAGACTACACACAACACATACAGCAAAAATGAGCCAGTGTTTTCTTCAGCAATTGGCCCAGAGAGTGAGATAGGTGAAAGCGTTAGCAAGTAATAACTGCTTAGTTTCCTACCAGGTTCAAGGTGAAATATTTATAGGCTTGGAGGAACAGAGGTACTACTGTTAGGGTAATGAGAAGCTCTCTGCTCCTCCAGATCCACTGCACCCCCTACTTCAGCCAATACACACTCACAACATTTTTGGGGGTAACAACATGGAATGGCAGTTATCTGGTGCCTAACTAGCCTATACTCTGCTCCAGATGCTCAGCTAGCTCCCTGGTCCTAAGCTCAGCATTCAAGGTAGAGTCAGCTACAAAAGCCCTCAGGGAGTTGGGGATGGACTTTGTGGAAGAGTACTAGTACCACTCACCAAAAGGCCACAACAAGACTGAACATCCATCCCCTTAGCATGACAAAGTCGACAGAACTTAATGGAGGAGCAATAGGCATCAAAAGTGAGCAGTGTACACACGGTACTGGAGCAGTGGAAAGAAAGTTTTGGAAAAACATAAGTGTTGTCCCTCCAAAGTATCTATCCTAGAGCCCTGCACTGAGGAATCCAGATACTAGCTCCTTGGGGAAAAAGGAAGAAAAATCCCCAAACATCTATTGTCTTCTGTGCTCTTCCCCTTGGTAACCCTAGACTTCAGAAGTATTGCTCCTGGCCAATTTCTTCTTTTACTCAACATACTTCCCTTTATTCTTCTTTTAAGTGTTAGTAAAAATCATCAGAACCTCATTAAAACAGACATTCTCCAAAATGTAGGGTACTGTCCTGCTCAAGGAAAATGCCTACTTTTCTTTTTGAG